CGGAGAATTTTGACGCAGGGACAGTCACGATGACAGGGAAGTTTTGCTGGACCTTTTTTGTTGGAGCTTCCAAACAGGGACAGACAGGGAAGTTTTGCTGGAGCTACCGAACAGGGACCAGACCTGACCCATCTGGCCACCTGAGAGTGGGAACTGGAACAGAAGTACCAACAAGTATTCAATTTTCAAAAGGGATGATTTGCAGGACTTTACCACCATGGGAGAGGAGAATATCAGTCTTCTTCACCAACAGCAGACGGAGCAACCAGGTACCGAGACATTGGCTCTCCCTCCCCAGCATTAGCCTCCCTCCCCAGTGGCAGTCAGAATTACCGGAAGCTTAGATAGCCGGTCCCCCGGCCCAGTAGCAGTGTGAGTTACTGGGAGTTGAGATAACCAGTCTCAGTCCCCAGCGGCAGTCGGAGTTACCAAGAGCGGAGATAGTCAGTCCACCTCCCCACTGGCAGTTGGAGTTATTGGGAGCGGAGATGGTCAATCTCCCTCCCCAGTGGCAGGTTGTTATGCATGGAGAGAAGAATTTCAGCCTTCCCAGCGACCATTGGAACTACGGGGAGTGGAAATGGTCGGTTACCCTCCCCAGCGGCAGTTGGAACTACCAGGAACAGAGACGGTCGGTCCCCTTCCCCATCGGCAGTTCATTATGCAGGGAGTGAAGAATGTCGGCCTCCTTCCCCAGTGGCATAGTAAGTTTATGGGAGAGAAGAGTGTCATCCACCCTCCCAGTGGCAGTTTGTTGTACAGGAACAGAAGATTACCAGGAGAAGAAATGGTCAACCCCATTCCCTACAACAGTTGGAGTTCCAGGGAGGGGAGGATATTATCCTCACTCCCCATGGGCAGTGTGAGTTCCAGGAAGGATAAGTTAACATCATCATACCCCAATGGCTGAGTATGTACCAAGGAGAATTGCTGAGTAGGCTTTTTCACCAACAGCAGAATGAGGAGCTCACCACAACCCCAGAGTACCACTGGCCCCCGCAAGTGTGAGAGTAGAGAAGAGCTCTACCTTGGTGAATGAGCCACACCCAGAAGTGCTGGCATCTGGACAGAGTGCCGCTGGCCTCTGTCCCCAACAACTAAAAAATAAAGTTCTGTACTGGTAGAAGGGAGTACGGGCTTCCCCAGTGTAATACCAGTAGGCTGAGCAGTTGGAACAGATTCCCAACCCATTGTATTAGAGACACTGGACACTTTGTACTTTCTCCAGTGGCTGATAGACCTTAAAAGAGAAGGTGTAGTTTACACTTTTTACTAGCGGTAGTTGCATATTACGAGAGATGATAAGGCTGGCTGGGTAAGTGACTCTTTTAAAACTGTATTCCCAGGTTAGTGTCTATTGGAAAAGGGAGGTATGTGACAGAAGCTCCCATGCCATGACCTTTTGGAGAGGCTTAAAGGCCAGTCTCTTACCCACAGACTGTGGACCTGGTCCCAGGAGTCCGGAAAAGAGGTATGTGACAGCTGCAATCAATTCACAAACTATACATTGTTACTTTGATAACTCTGCTGCGCCCTCTGCTGACTGACTAGAAGTGTGTACATTTTGCAAGACTTCTATGCGAATGAGAGCAGCAAAATAAGTAGTTTATTGTCTTTAATCCGTCTTTATCAGGGTCTTAACCTCAAATATGTTTCCCATGCAGGAGATAAAATGCAAAACAGTCATATGATGTGGGAAACAGAAACATTTTTCATGTGCGGCTAACATAGAAAAACTCTTTCTGAACCTTACAGTATTTCCTTTTTCTTTCTTGCGGAAAGAGCATTGGTCCCTAAAGGGTTAATCTAGTTGAATGATTATTATACCTTTTCTTTTTAGGTATTATGTGATCTCTCATACTGTTGTTACTTATATGGCTTTATTCAAATAACTTGTCACAAGTTATGTTTTATTTGGCATTTATGCCCTGTTCTGTAACTTTTAAAATATATGAATGCATTTTAAGTGAAAAAAATCATAGTTATTTCTCTACACAACTTATTAACAAAAATGTTCATTTTGTAATTTATTTATTTTTTAAATTAGTGTTTTTAAGTAAAGTTTACATGGTAATTTTCTCTGGGTGTTCACACGCCGTTGAGAGAAACAAGCATAACATGGAGAGTTCAACTGATATACACAGTGAATTCAATTATTACCTCTCATAAGAATAGAACATGAATGAGCAGCAACAACAGGAACAAATCAATAACAGCCCGATATGAACATACTGAACTAGCAGGATACCAAAAGCAAATAAGTAAAGATATTGATGTGAACATCAATAAATTAAGCTATATACCAAACCTGTAATATGCAAAAACAAAAAGTTGCAATCACAATAGAAAAACACTATACATGAATTACAATCAAGAAAACATAACCGGAATATAATTGTTTCATAAATGTAAGATATGGGTTCTACAGGGTAATTCACTAAAGTGTGAATTGTCAGAAATTTAAAGTGAATTTAAAATTTAAGGTTAAAATATCCAAACTGAAAGCAATGTAACATAATGTTTCCAGTTCATCTATTTTGGCCTTAAGTTTGGCAATCACTTTGAATTTACTTTGAATCCCTGAGAATACTCACTTTAGTAAATAACCTTGTTAGTAGACAATGATACATTAGAGTCCATAGTTATTCTTGAATTAAAAGACCACTATAGTGCCAGGAAAACATACTCGTTTTCCTGGCACTATAGTGCCCTGAGGGTGCCCCCACCTTCAGGGTCCCCCTCCCGACCGGCTCTGGGGAGAAGAAAGGGGTAAAAACTTACCTTTTTCCAGCGCTGGGCGGGGAGCTCTCCTCCTCCGATCCTCCCATTCGGCTGAATGCGCACGCGCGGCAAGAGCTGCGCGGCATTCAGGGTCGCATAGGAAAGCATTTACAATGCTTTCTATGGACGCTATGCGTTCACTGTGATTTTCACAGTGAGAATGGAGCGTTTTCTAGCGCTGTCAATGAGACAGCCGCTAGAGGGGTTTGAGGAAGGATTCCATTTAGAACATAGCAGTTTCTCTGAAACTGCTATGTTTATAAAAAAAATGGGTTAATCCTAGCTGGACCTGGCACCCAGACCACTTCATTAAGCTGAAGTGGTCTGGGTGCCTAGAGTGGTCCTTTAATAACTCCAAAACTATTAATCAGAAACATACCTCCCAACATCAGGAGGTGTGAAATAAGGACAGGCAAGCCCTGGGAGGGGGTGTTGCCAGTGATGTAAATTGGGTCACTGACATAGCCCATAATGTTCTGTCCATCCACTGAAGAAGCGTACAAACCTTCCATCAGGCATGCCAAGCTGACTGACATTTCATCATGCTCAGGTGTTTTTTTCAAGACATTGTCTTCTCTCAAGAAAGACACATCGGCATGCTGAAACGTGGGGGGTGGTTTTGTGATTTATTTTCTACCCTTCTCACTTCTTTGTTTGTCCTTTAGGAAGGTCAAATAGTACAGAAGGGCAAAAATGTGCTGATTTGCCAACAGAAGAATGAGCTTATGAGGCCACAGCCTCTGGGGCTGGCTCAGACAAAGGATAGACATGTAAATTGTCCAAGTACCATTTGGAGAGAGTCCTAATCATGTTTTACTTAGTAAGGATACAGGATGTGATTTGGAGAAATTATTCAATAACAGCACCTCATTCTTACAGTTACAGAGAACAATCAATATCTCACTCTCACAGCACCTAAACTAGGGATGTAAAATAGAGGAGAGGAGTTGGGGCTAGGATTTTTCTTTTAGATACTCCACAATGAAATATCATCAATTTTGATGATCTTAGCCAATTTAATGATTTTTCACAGGAAAGCATTGGAAGGCTAGTGTGCATGTGTGGCAAAATGCCACAAATCACCAATCAGATGGTCCCAGAAATAGTGAGACAGCCACTAGATAAATTTAAACTCTGCAATGCAAACACAGTCATACCTGCAGAACAGCAATATTCTACATTGAATATGAAAACCAGAGGGACATCTCCTGAAACTGACCCCGGAAGCCCAAGCGGCAATGATAACAGAACTCGCTATAGAGGAGCTGACGGTAGCACTAGGCTCCTTCAAACCAAATAAGAGCCCCGGACCCGATGGCTACATAGAGCTCTACTACAAGACCTTTAGCTCCCAATTACTTAAACACCTATGTTCAGTCTTTAATACCCTGCTAAAAGGAGACAGGCTACTTGAGGACATGGTAATGGAAAACATCTGCCTCCTCCCAAAACCTGGCAAAGACCATAATGAACCTAGCCATTTTAGACCAATATCACTTCTGAATGTGGATCTAAAGTTACTGACCAAAGTTATGTCAAATAGACTTAACCCTTACCTGGATTCCCCAATCCACACAGACCAAGTGGGGTTCATACCACACAGGCAAGCGTCCGAAAACACCCGCAAAGCCTTTGACCTAATCTGGTACGCCCAACACAGGAATATCTCCACAGCTATCATTTTACTTGATGCCGAGAAGGCTTTTGACCGCCTTCTCTGACCATTTTTGTTCCGGACCCTAAAGGAATTCGGGTTCCCACCACCCTTCTTATCTTTTTTAGAGACCACATATCACCACTCACAGGGAGCCCTTCTTCTCCCCAACATCCCACCACCGAAATTTTCAGTAATAAATGGTACGAGACAGGATTGCCCCTGTGCTCAGAGGAGGTGACAGCAATCTTTGCCCCTGCCTCTGAAGACTTTGACAACCTTCCCCTTCCAGACCTCTTAGGGGACAGGAGCCAGTCTAGCGAAATAGAAGAGGTCAAGCTGGGAGATCGGTTGAGCCCACAAGAGCGGAGCGAGGTACAACAACTCTTAAGAAAGAAGAGAGACACCTTCTCTAATGTACCTGGCTACACTCCTTTGGCAACTCACCAGGTAGAGACACTAGGTCAACTCCCTATGCACCAGACCATTTACCGAATCCCTGAATCGGTACGGGAAAACATGCGTAAGGAGATCCAAGAGATGCTCCAACTGGGGGTGACTGAGCCTTCTGACAGGCCCTGGGCCTCCCCTGTAGTCCTCGTACCTAAACGGGATGGTCTGACACGGTTCTGAGTGGATTGCCGGAGGTTAAACAATAAAACCATGTCAGATGCGTATCCCATGCCCAGGATAGACGAACTATTAGACAGAATGGCCCGGGGCCAATACCTCACGACAATTGATCTTTGTAAGTGGTATTTGGCAGATCCCCCTGGCCCCTGAAGCCATTCCAAAGTCGGCCTTTGTTACCCCATTCGGCTTATACCAGTTTAAGGTAATGCAGTTTGGGATCAAAAACGCTCTGGCTACTTTTCAAAGAATGGTGGACCGCCTCCTAGATGGTTCCAAGACTACACCTGCGCATATTTAGATGACATTGCTATCTTTAGCAATACCTGGCAGGAGCACTTGACCCATATAGGAGCGGTCCTAGATAGGATTAGAGAAGCCGGCTTAAACCTGAAGCCCACCAAGTGCAGTATAGGCATGGCCAAAGTGCAGTACCTCTGGCACAGATTGGAATGTGGACAGCAGAAACCTGAACCCGCTAAGGTGAAAGCAGTGGCCCAGTGGCCAACTCCTAGGACTAAGACACAAGTGCTAGCATTTCTAGGGACCGCAGGGTACTACCAAAAGTTTGTGCCCAATTATAGTGCCTTGGCCAAACCCTTTACTGATCTCACCCATAAAAAATCCTTCCCCGCCAAGTCACCTGGACCCCAGAGTGTCAGCAGGCATTCCAACTGCCCTTGTAAATGCCTCTGTCTTGGCAGCTCCCAATCCAACTAAACGTTTTCTTGTTCACACAGACACCTTTATGTTTGGATTGGGGGCAGTACTGAGCCAATTGGGGCCCGATGGTGGAGAACATACCATGGCTTACATCAGTCGACAGCTGTTACCTCGAGAAGAAAGCTACGCCGCCATCAGGGCCGTGGTGTGGGCCCTGAAGAAGTTACAGCCGTATCTTTATGGACAGCCCTTCTCCTTGCTCACGGATCACAAACCGTTGGTCTGCCTGAACTCGGTGGCAGAGGACAACGCCAGGCTGCTGCGCTGTAGTTCGGTGCTGCAGCCATTTGACTTCACTATTCAGTACCGCCCGGGGAAGCAGAATGGGAATGCAGATGGGTTGTCCAGACAGACTGAACTAGAGAAATGATCTGTGAGCAAGACCGGACATCCCCAAGCCGATCCGGGAAGGATCACACTGTGTATGCCGGCTTGTGGTCACAGGGGAGCAGTGTAGCGGAATGGGTTTTGCTACTATCCACCTTTTATATAATTGGCTGTCCATAACCCTTTTTGTTACATTATTTTATATTATTTGCAATTGTTCGTTACTTATGGGAACAAGTAACAAGCTGTCCTTTTATATAATTCGTCTGGTTGTTCGGTAAGAATCCTATTCTCACTACGTTAAGCCATATTGTTCGACAAACAAACAAACTACCGAACAACCAGGCCACCCAGGAGAGGAGCGTTGCACTAATTGACCTCCCTATTGTTATTCACCCTACCTTAATTGCCAACAGCACGAACTGAGTATTCCCTGGGTGGCTGCAGTTCGACATACGAACACGTGGCAGCGGCCATCTTTGCATTCGAATGCACCAGCGGTGTTTGGTCGTCGAGTGTCTGAAACCCAAATCAAACACTCGATGGCACGAACACCGCAGAGACTTCCATCCTCGCACAAGTTCGTGGGAAATCAAGTGAACAGAGCTACGTTCGGTGAAAAGAGTCATACGAATGAGGGGAATCATACGAACAAAGACGCGACCCATTATGTTATAGATTTTCGTGCATTTCAACCTCACGTACGGAGACCGACCGCATGGCCAAAACACATGGAACTATCATCGGCTTACACCTCGTCTGCTGTCAGTAAAACTAAGACCTCCATAAAACATTCGAACGCCTGAACTAATCTGGGTGATTTTTCAGTATGTTGCTTCTCCAGATCGGGGCTATCAGGGGATGTTGGAATTATGACTGTACATGTTTTTGGGGTGTTTTCAGATATGTGTGAAAAGTATGATTCTTCTGTTTTGGGATAATTTACTGTATCAATAGCTCAATTATCCCCTGAGCAGAGGGAAGGGATTGTATACATGAACTATGTTTTTACTGGTTGTTACATATTTTTATCAGTGCCCTACAAGGTTCACCTGGGGGGTAACCTTTGGGGCAAAACTTGCATTAAAGGCCAGCCTGGCCATTAAAGGATCAGTTTTGCTCCTAATACTGATTGTCGTCCAGTTATTGGGAAGGGTGATGGGATATTTGTATAAGCGCTTGTATTTCTGCCTGAAGCATGTTCCTGAGTAGCTTTTGGAGTGACCAGCGAAGAATAAGCCCTGCTACCATTGCTCTCCGCTACAGCCTCACTGATCTCACTAAAAATAATTTACCCCGCCAAGTAGTATGGGCACCAGAGTGTGAGCAGGCATTCCAAGAGCTCTTGTCAATAGTCCTGTCCTAGCTGCTCCCAATCCATCTAAAAGATTTATTGTTCACACAAACGCTTCAATGTTTGGATTGGGAGCGGTATTGAGCCAGATCGGAGAAGCTTACCTGAGCAGGAAACTTCTACCCAGGGAGGTGAGCCACGCCGCCGTAGAAAAAGAATGCCTGGCTGTGGTGTGGGCCCTAAAGAAACTCCAACCATATTTGTACGGACAGCAGTTCACTTTACTCACGGAACACATACTGTTTGTATGGCTAAACCGAGTGGCAGGAGACAATGCCCGGTTGTTGCGCGGGAGTTTGGCGTTACAACCGTATGACATTACTATTCACTACCACCCCGGGAAACAAAATGGCAATGCCGATGGGTTATTTCGACAGACTGAACTAGAAAAGTGATCCGTTGATTCGAAATGCGTTCCCAAACCACCGAAGGGATCTGAGCGCTATTTCAACAAGCTATTCAGTGATCTGACTTTCGTGGGGTTCCTATGTAATTGATTTTCACAGTGAGAGGCACGCAAACGCCTCTATTGGCTGTCAATGAGACAGCCACTAGAGGCTTTAGAGGCTGGATTAACCCTATTATAAACATAGCAGTTTCTCTGAAACTGCTGTTTATTAAAAAAAGGGTTAATGCTAGAGGGACCTGGCACCCAGACCACTTCATTAAGCTGAAGTGTTCTGGGTGCCTAGAGTGGTCCTTTAAGTTGTTTTGGTCCTTTGAGTATCCCTTTACATTTCTTTAGTCTGCGACTAAATAAATATAATTGACATCTTTAATTAGCTATTTATTTACTACTATGTGGCTGTATAATGCTTATTTGACTTAAAGGACCACTATAGTGCCAGGAAAACATACTTGTTTTCCTGGCACTATAGTGCCCTGAGGGTGCCCCCACCCTCAGGGTCCCACTCCCGTGGCACTGAGGGGGGAGGAAAGGGTTAAACCTACCTCTTTCTCCAGCGCTGGGCGGGGAGCTCTCCTCCTCCTCTCCGGCTGAATGCGCATGCACGGCAGGAGCTGCGCGCGCATTCAGCCAGACTCATAGGAAAGAATTTACAATGCTTTCCTATGGACGCTGGTGTCTTCTCATTGTGATTTTCACAGTGAGAAGCGCGGAAGCGCCTTGAGCGGCTGTCAAGAGACAGCCACTAGAGGCTGGATTAACCCTAACATAAACATAGCAGTTTCTCTGAAACTGCTATGTTTATAAAAATAAAAAAAAGGGGTTAACCCTAGCTGGACCTGGCTCCCAGACCACTTCATTAAGCTGAAATGGTCTGGGTGCCTATAGTGGTCCTTTAAACAAGTTGGCCTCACAGTAGAAAACACAGCAGACAGGGTTAATGATATGAAACAGTGGTCAAGCCTTTTTAATTCATGGTAGCAAATATAAATGGCAAAGGCAGATATAAAACTAACTATACATAACACATGCATAAGGTTTTTATATATATATATTCAGTCTTATATTTTCATTTGAATAGGCTTGCTCATATAACATTAGTTGGTGGAAAGTCTATGAGTTTTAGCCACAGACCTAGTTTAACCACTTAAGGACAAGTGACATGTCATGATTCCCTTTTATTCCAGACGTTTGGTCCTTAAGGGGTTAAATAAAGCATAAACAGATTCAACCCACCCTCTTTGAGATTCAATTTTAGGTGGGACCATTTTTTTCCCCTTCATATTTGTTGTTACTTTTCAATGTGCATCTACAGCAATCAGCATGTCAAGTCATCAATAAAAATTTTTATATAAACAGCTTTTTAAATGAAACACCATTTACAGATTATATATCAATAGACACATATCTGTAATGGATGTTTCTGCAAGATGCCTCACATTTTAGTGAAAGGCTCATCCATTACATTAGTTATTCAAATACACTAGAGCAGGGGTTCCTAATCCAGTCCAGGATTTAGGAATTACCCTGTTATGCCTACATTTTTTTTTTTTTTTTTTTAGAAAAAAAACACCACCTTAGACAACTGGGTAATCCCTAAATCCTGGACTATTAAGGGGTAGTTAAGGACTGTGTTAGGAACCCCTGCACTAGAGTATTAGAAATAAAAATGTATTCCTGATGCTATAGTGTTCCTTTACCTATTTAGATGCCCTTCCCCCACACATGAGGATTTAAAAGGTAGTTTTACTTACCTTTACTCACCACAGACGCTTAGGGAAGGATTGGGAGGCAAATTTGCAAGCACGGCTAAGAGCAGCATTTCTTTAAATAACAGAGTCCGACTCGGTTATTGAACAGGAGCACCCTCTAATGTCAGTCAAGAAATTCTACTGTATCTACTAAAAAGCATTGTTTTAGATAAAAAGGTTTAAAACTAAAGTGCCACCCAGACCGTACATTGATAGATGAAGTGGTCTGTGTGTCTTTAGTGGTCCTTTAAATTCAGTATCATTAAACAATAACAATCAATTAACCTATACAGATTAACAAAGATGTGCAGGTACAGTCACCCAAACAATTTAACCCCTTAAGGACACGACATGTGTGACATGTCATGATTCCCTTTTATTCCAGAAGTTTGGTCCTTAAGGGGTTAAGCTTAATGAAGCAGTTTTTGTGTATAGATCATGCATCTGAAGTCTCACTTCTCTATTCTCAACAGATGTTAACTTCATATGTTTTTATCTTCTGCTCTGAAATTGAACTTTAATCACATAAATGAGGCTCCTGCAAGGTCTACCAAGCTATTAACAGAGCAGGAGATAAGAAATTCTAAAATAAACATAATTTGCAGTAAAGGAAGTGTAAACATTTACAGGAAGTGTTTATGAAGGATGTGTAAGTCAAATGCAGGGAGGTGTGA